GGGGAGGGGCGCATCTGGAGGCGCCGGCGTGCGAGCTGCTGGCACCGCAAGAGCCTCTGAAGCGTGGGCGTGGAACAGGTCACGCAGATCGGTTCTCGAAAGACGATCGCGGTAAGGATCGCCAGTGGAGAGGGAGGGGTACCTGCAAGTGGGGGGCACGCAGCCTTGGGGACCACGGAGAAGGCGCATTTCAGGGGGAGAGGGGCCAGCGGGAGCCGGCGTAAAGGAAGCGACGGCCAGCAGGGTCCTGGGCACAAGGACTGGCAAGAGCCCCAGACCTGAGGACGACGGGACGCCGGTGCCCGGAGGGCGGGGCGGGTGGTTGGCGGGCGCAAAACGCCTCCACGAAGCGCGAGCAAACCCACCCCAACCGCGTGTTCCAAAGGAAAACGAGCTAGACTAAGAGAAAGATTAAGGGAAAACGTGCTCGTGGACTCACAAGGTAAAGCTGTGAAACGCTGGCTAGGCTACGTCATCGGATAGGAGGCAGCCCTTTACGGAACCAGAGGAGAAGCGTCTGTCTTACCCTGGCCGCCGCCGCCCTCGCGGGTCCCCCGGCCGTCGGGTGCGCTTCCATCCTCGGCGCGCTCCACCTCCCGAATAGCCATCCTCCTCGCCCCGCTGTGAGCCTTCGGTGCAGGTGCAGACTTTTTCAGGTCTCTTTCAACCTCCGACAGGGTTTTCTGCAATAGAATCGCCATGTGCAATAAGATGTCTTCCTTAAATAAAAAATATAACTATTCCTTCAGCTTAAGAGTAGGAAGCTATTAAAAAGTAAATAACAATAACTAAAACAAGGCGTTTTATGGTGGTCTCTTGTCTGATTACAGTCATACATGGCTGTTGTAAAAAACGTAAAGCCATAACATGTATAAAAAAGAGAGAAAACTATCTGATAACACTTGATATTCTGATGATCTTCTTCCTAGATAGGTGCCTATGCAGGCATATGTACACACCCCCCCATTATAAAAGGGAAATGCTAGGGGGAAAAGATGTGTTCCTAAACTGGGCCTTAAATCCAGCCCACCCACTGAAATGCTGACTGGGGCCTTCAGCTGCTATTCAGAGATAGATAACCCAGCAGGTATTTGCGGAAACACTGGAACTTACTGCAGGAACATAGTTCTCCGTGGGCTTCTCATCTCTCAATATATTGTGAGCAGAGGCACTAAGCAGCCTTTGTTCTAGACTTTCTTTTTAAGGATGTATGTAGTGAGAACAGCCTTGGGAAATCGGATAGTTCTCTTCGGAGGAAAGAGCAGGTTTGCTCTCCAGGAAAATAAAGGTAATGTTTCCCTCTTACATTGGCTGGGCAGGCTTGCTTGTATTCCGCGAGAGGTGGGGGTTCCTCAGCTGTGACACATCCACTGAGTGTGCGGCATCGATCTGGGCCATTCTGGGCCGCTCCCATGAGACTCAGAAGCCGGGGGAACGGACATGAGCTTGAAGCTCATCAGCTGGCTGTGCTGCCACCAAGTCCTTTGTGTCTCACCCAGGAGTCTTATCTGTTCCTCTTGGCCACCTTGTTAATTTGCAAGTAGGGTGAAATCTCAGACCCTTCAGAGTTCTCAACACTTACTCTACTCTCCAGGCCTTAGCACAGACGCCTCAAGTGCTCTCTGAGTCAGCCTGCTATCAGTGATCCACGCTTACCATGCAAGTTACAGAGAGAGACGCTTTTTTATGGCCACCAAACTCAGGCCTGATCCCACACAGGAAACTTACACACTGCTCTGCACAATAAATTGGAATTAGCTCAAAGAAAATCACTGCCTACAACATTGCAGGAAAGAAAACAATTAAGTATTTGTCCTTCAGAAGTAGATTTACAGTTTTGAACAATTTAAGAGCTTGCTTTCTTCCACTTCAAATCAATGTTAATACCTTGGGGGGGGTCTGGGATATGCCTACTTTTTAAAGCTGTAACCTAATCCTCAACATCACGCGTCCAGCAAGATTGATGTCACTTCACATAAATACAGAAATAGCAAACTATAGAATTCAGTGAGGAATCACTTTCTGTACTTACTTTGGCCATCTCATTATCAGGTTCAATATCCAGGACTTTGCTCAAATCTTCTATCGCTTCCTGGAGCTTGTTTTGATGCTTATATGTAGTGGCACGGCGCAGAAGAGCTAAAAATTTACCGAAGTAAGTTATATATTTTTTAACACATGGCATTATTTTATTATTAAATATCAGAAAATCTATTAAATTATACTTAAATATTTTTGGATAAAAATCTTCAGTTCAATACGCCAGTCATAAAAAGATAAACATTGTATGATTCCACTTACATGAGATACGTAATATAGTGAAATGACAGAGAGAGAAAGTAGAATGGTTGCCAGAGGCTGGGGAGAGGGAAGAATAAAGTTATTGTTTATGAGGTATAAAGTCTCAGTTTTACAAGATGAAAGTGTTCTAGAGATGGATGGTAGTGATTGATGACTGCACAACACCACTGAACTGTACTCATAAAAATGATTAAGATTGTAAATTTTATGTTATGTATTTTACAAAATAAAAAAAATTGAAAGAAAAAACCCCACAGTTAAACGCAAGCTTGAGATGTTTCTTTAAAAACATGTATTTTATTGAATCTTCTGAAATTATTGGCTATTTCAATGCAAATAATCAGGGACTTAAATTCCAAGTTAAGCCTTAGCCAGTTTGGCTCAGTGGTTAGAGCGTCGGCCTGCAGGCTGAAGGGTCCTGGGTTCGATTCCAGCCAAAAGCACGGACTTTGGTTGTAGGCTTGATCCCCGGCCCTGATCAGAGTCCAAGCAGGAGGCTACCAATTGATGTCTCTCTCTCTCTCCCTCTCTTTCTGAAAAGCAATGGAAAAAAATATCTTTGGGTGTGGATTAAAAAAAGAAAATTCCAAGTTAAACTTGAAATTAAAAGTAACTTTATGAAGGTAATGATTCCATTTAGAAATGTGAGTTTATTTGAAATTTTTTAGTATAAATATAATGCATGTGTACAGTCTTTAATGGATCCTGCTGTAAATTTAAAAGTACTATGAATATTTGTTACCCTTTACGTTTCCAGGTTCTAACTCCAAGACCTTTTCACAATCCTGAAAAGCGCTGTTCCAGTTCTGTAGCTTGAGTTCTGCTTGAGCGCGATTGTTATAGGCCACTACGGTGGGAAGCACCGACAGGCTCCTATAAAAGAAACACTCATTGGCAACAAGCACGCCAGTGCTAAATACAAGACAGAGAAACGCAGCTAAAGTTGTAAATAAAACAGTTATAGCCGGTGTTTGGGCAGAAGTGTGGCCCCCCACCCAACCAAACTTACATGTTGAAGTCCTAACCCCAGTACCTCATAATGTAACTTAGAATTGGCGATAGTCTTTAAAGATGTGATTAAGTTAACATGCGGTCATGAAAGTGGACCCTAATTCAATATGACTATTGTCCTTACAAGAGGAGCAGATCAGAATACAGATACACACAGAGGAAAGACCACTTAAAGACACAGAGAAAACAACCAAGAAGAGCGGCCTCAAAAGAAACCAACCCTGCCAACACCTCAATATCAGACTTCTAGCCTCCAGAACTGGAGGAAAATAAAGCTCCGGGTTGTTTAAGCAACCCAGTCTGGTCTTTGTTATGGCAACCCTAGCAAACTAATATAGCTGCACCATCAAAACGAATAAAATATAATTCTATAAACATAATAAATCAATATTTAGATGCTTAAATATCCAGTTAAGAGGTTTAAAGTTGACTCAAGCTTTAGAGGTGACATGGGAATGTACGTAACCATAGCTCTCCTAAAAAAACAATTTAGCCCGCCTGGCGTGGCTCAGTGGTTGAGCATCAACCTATGATCCAGGAGATTGAGGTTTGATTCCCGATCAGGGCACATGCCCAGGTTTCGGGCTCAATTCCCAGTAGGAGGCAGCCGATCAATGAGTCTCTCTCATCACTGATTTTCTCTCTCTCCCTTTCCTTTCCTATCTCTGAAATCAACAAAAATATATTTTTAAGAAAACAAAACAAAACAAAACAAAAACCCAATTTAGTTAACATCAAACATTTATTTTTTACTCTTTGGGGACAATTTCCTAGCACAAAAATATGGAGCAACCAACCACAACTAATATCTTTTATTTTTAAGTTGTTATGGTGTTAACTGGCAAAAATTAGTTTGCAATATAAAAGTAGATTTAACTCTAAGAAAATTATTGCAATTTAATCAAATGAATTAAATCGAGGGAAACAGAGGCATCAGTGAAATGAGGGATACAGATTTGAAGAGAGCAAATGCTGCTAGATTAAGGGAATGAGCACAAAATAATAGAATTTAAAACCTACCTGACTTGCTTAAAAAAACTGATTTGGAAAGACTGATTTCCTACTTATAGGAAAGGTAAGGGGATTGGTGCACTGAATTTTTTTAATACAGAGAGGAACAGAAAATGAAAATGAAAAGTCACAAAAGTGTCAGTTCACTAATCAGCTCATCAGAGATGAATATAAAGACAGTTCCACTTTTAATGTTTTGAGACAGTGGCTCCACATCTGGGATTTTATCCCAAGAAACCCAAACACTAATTGGAAAGAATATATGCGCCCCTATGTTTATTGCAGTGTGATTTACAATACCAAGATATGGTAGCAGCCCAAGTGCCCATCAGTAGACAAGTGGATTAAAAAGCTGTGATAAATGAAATATTGCTCATCCATAAAAAAGAATGACATCTTCCCCTTTTCGACAGCATGGATGGACCTAAAGGGTATTATGCTGAGTAAAATAAGTCAGTCAGAGCTTACAGTCCAGTTAGTATCAAATCACACAAACTTAAACTGTACTTCTAGCAAGTGCTACAAAGAAGAGATAAGATTGCTATAAAAGACTATAAATTGGGGGAGGGAGGGTGATAGTGGGGGATGGATTAGGGTAAAGATTTAACCTAGTCTGGGAGGTCAGGGAAGATTTCTCCAAAGAAATGAGGCATGAGCTGAAATATGAAGGATAAGTTAGAATTAATTAGATAATGAGAGGAGGGAAGAGTATTTTTAGACAGAGGGCCCAGCATATGTAAAGGCCCTGTGGTGAGAGGCAGTGCCACAAGTACTAGGATCAGGTATATGCTATTTGGACTGTCTGTTGAGTTCCTTTTAGATGGCTTCTATTTTCTCTATAAAATGGGAAAGTTAGGATCTCTGTCAAAAGTAGGGGTGGGTGGGAGCTCTGAGAAAAGTATTGAAAAAAACAAGGCAAACAAGTGAGTTTATGATAAACCACAAATACAGTATCTTGAGTGATTCTGACATAGACCATTTAGCTTATTTGTGTCATTTCAACAATTAAATTTAAACACTGTCATTTTCGTCATAGCCAGTTTAAACCACAACAAAAATCTCCTCGCCTTGTGTAATATTTCACAGCCTCTTCATAATCTCCAGAGTTGAAAGCTTCATTTCCTTTTTCTCTTTCACGAGTAGCAAGAAAATCCGTTTCTTTCTTAGTCAGGCCTAAAACAAATGTTAGCTGCTTTAAGTAACAATACAACTTAACAGAATATTTAAAAAATTTTAAATCCAAGGATGCTTATTTTAACAGAAGCAGAAGTTTGTAAAATAGTTAAAAGAAAATAAAAGATTCCCTATGTTTAGTAATGTTTCTTTCCTTTTTAAAAAATCATTCACAATTTTTGAGGTTTTAGATCTTTTATAATTGGTTTTGTTTCTCTTTAAAGCTGCTATAAGCCTATGGACTTCAAATGAAAACAAACTGCTCCATCATTTTGTTTTGAGGCAAAAAGAAAATAAATTTGAGGGATTTGAAGTAAAAAGAGGATTTGAAAAAATAAGTGAAAAACAAATGAATTACAGTAAAAAAAATAGGTTTGTATTTTTAAGTCTTACTAAGTTTAAGAAGTATAACTGTTATTCCTACAAAATTAAGTAAAGGATAGATCTGAACTTGTTAGAAGTGGTCAACTTTAGGAGAAAATGTATAAACTTCTAATGAAAATTTGCAGCACTTAAAGAGAAAGTCTTCTAGTTTGACAGCTTTTATTATGATTTTAAAAACTTAAAAGATTACTAAATTGTTCTTCCATCTCCCCAGTTACCTGCTGTGTCTAATCTTGTCTCAATTTTAGACAAATGGGACTTGTTGTTTATTAGAGTTTTTTCTTTGTAATCTTCGTCAATTTTTGAACATTCCTTTTCCACGTCAAACCTTAAAAGAAAGAATAAAAACTGGAAAAAAGTACAATACAATAAAATATATTATTGATATCCTTGTATTTATATCATTGTGCCTTTAAAGGAGGGGTGGGGAATCTTTTTTCTGCCAAGGGCCATTTGGATATTTATAACATCATTGGCAGGCCATGCAAAATCATCAGTTTAAAAATTAGCTTGTTGTATTTGGTCAAACATTTAATTAACTCACTCCTGTGTGATGGCTGGAATGCCTTCTCTTTGGCGAGGCCTTGGCAGGGCCAGACCAGACGATTTTGCAGGCCTTATACAGCCCGCAGGCCAGCCGCTTCCCACCCCTGCCACACAGTCCAAAAATGCATGACAGTTAGTATTACAAGTCTTCTGTATTCTTTCTTAGAAACCATGTAATTTAGTGAGAACTTAAAACTTCAATCAGATCTAAACTGTTCAGAACTTTGTAATTAAAATTGTGACAAATTTCTCTGAATTAAAAATTGTTGTTCTTTTTAAATTTTGGATAGGTATAAGGATTATATTAGTTATTTTCAGTTGCTCTTCTAAACAAAAGGATGCAGAAGATTTTTATTTAGTGAGAAACAAGATCAAGACTGCTTAGACCGCCCTGGCTGGGGTGGCTCAGTGGGTTGGGCATCTTCCCATGCACCGAAAGGTTGCTCGTTCAATTCCTGGTCAGGGCACACGCCTGGGTTGCGGGCTCCATCCCCCTGGTAGCGGGTGTGCAGGAGGCTGCCAACCGATGTTTCTCTCTCTCCCTCTTTCTCTAAAAATCAATGAACGATTTTAAAAAAATGCTTAGACCATACATTCTGAGTACTCTACTGAAGTACCTTGCTATTCTTGACATGTTCAGATTTATAATAATTAAGAACTTATTACAGTATTTTGTGATAGAGAATTTTTCAGTGACAAGTTTTACATAAAGAAATAGAAGACATACTTATCCCACTCTGCATAATCCCTTGGAATTTTCTTTTTAGCTGGACTACTTTTAGAATATTTTTCCTAAAAGAATAAAAACATACTGTATGAGATATATTTAATATTAGATTAACAGGTTTTACTATAGATGCAATGTGAAGTATTGGAGTAAGATACACAAATTGAATGAATAAGAAAATAGGTACTTTTGAAGTTATAACAACTCCAGTATTAAAGTGATTAACATAATAATATATAGCAGGCTTAAAAAGGATTTTAAAGTTGTAGTTAATTCTCGGAGAAATCTACGGGACTTTAAGTACGTACATAAAATTTAAAAACTCACCTGTGTGAAAAGTGATTATTAGTGATTTCCCCGTAATAAAAAGATACTAAACTATCACTGATTCTTTTAAAACCTAGGCATTGGGGAATCCTCCTGAAGGTAGTAGCACAGAGCAGCTGAAAAGCACGCCCCGCCGGCCGGGAGGATGTCACTCTCCGGCTACACTGATGAAAGCGGGACAGCCGTCCCACCAAACGCCCTTCGCCCCGCCAGCCGCACCCGCACCCAAAGGCCTACCTTGGCAGCTTGAGGACAACTGTTGGAGCCACGGACTGGAGGCAGATTTTCTTCCTTTGCCACAAATGTTCCAGGTTCATGAAAATGCATTTCATTTTCTTCTTTTTTAATTTCTGATACCCAACTCTGAGAGGAAGTGAGCAAATGAAGGAAAACACACAACTGGAAGTCAGTAACCGGGCATTAGAGAGACTGCACCTCATCCACGGTCCCTATGGGCCGGGCGCTTTCTTCAGGGGACCATTGATGGGCCGTTCTCTCTGCCTGCACGCACACACACATTCACAATATTCTCCGGGGTGCAGAAGCGACCAGTACTTCCTAAGTAATTACCATTAAAAAGCCCTTCACTGACAAAAGAACCTACGATTTCAGATAAGTGAAGTAGACATACATACAACACGACAGTGTCACAGAAACTGGTGTTACTTTATGTACCTTGATATCGCCATCAATTTTTTCCCACTCTCCTGCTGTGAAACTGGACGGTGTCGCTGCAGGCTTGTCTTTCCTCAAAGCCCTACTTGCAGGAGCCAGTCCTTGAAGGCGCTTTTCACAAAACTCTGTAAGTTCGGGATAGTATCCTTCCTCACCAGACCTTTAAAATATTTCAGAATTTCACAGTTACCACTTTGCTTAGAGATCATACAGACCAGTGGTTTGCAAACTGGGCTCCATGGGGCCCAGGAGTTCTGCGGAGATCTCAGGGTTGCCCCGCAGGAGGTGGCAGGAGGGGCAAGCAGGGAGTTTAGGGAGCACATGGCACTAAAGGTAATGAGAGAGGACAAGCAAAGGCCACAGTGGTAAGATAAGTGGTCAGAGAAGCAAGGAGAGCCACCGCAGAGCAGAAAGGAATAGTACTGATGTGACCCTCCATAAGTGCTTCTGCAACATCGGGCTACTCTCCAAGGGAGAGGCCCTCAAGAAACCCGAAACAGGTGACACAGGACAATGTTTCTTGAAGTGGGTTCCCTTGACCACCTGCATGTCAATCAGCCAGGTGCTTGTTAAAAACACAGATTCCTGGGCTCCACCCCAGATTTCCCAAAGCAGAATTTCTGGGAAAGGGACCCTCAAATTTGAATTTTTAGCAACCAGGTGTATATTCAAGTTTAAGAATCACCACCATGGAGTTCTTAACCAGAGAAGGCCCTGATTCCCTGCCTTCGATTCCTACCTCCTGGCTTCCCCACCGTCCTCCAAAAGACCAGCTCGAAGTGAGCCAGTCACCCAGATGGGATTAACCAAATACCCTTATCAGTGTAGGTTGGTGAGCTAACCTTACCTCCTACTGGCTACTCTCACAGCTACTTTTTCCTCGACAATGTGGAAGAAGCTAGAAAAATGCCCAGTACTAATTAGCCTAAGTTGCATGCTGGAAGTAGACCCAGCCAGAACACGCCAAACTAACCACAGGATCAAAACCACTATTTTGGAACCTAATACAAAAAATACAATAGACAATCTCAATATTTGAAGACTTCCTCCAATGTTTCTAATGCAGCGTCGACTTTTAGAAGGCAAGAACAAGAAAATTAAAATTGACAAACTGAAACATGAAATGATTTTTAAATGCTTACCTAAGCACACAAAGAATTTTTTCCAAGTGTTTGACGTCTGAACATTTTTCAATATACTTGAAATCCAAGTGTTCAACGGGAATGTTGAATGTTTTTGTTGTTCCAAAGCCAAACAATGATGGACAACCTTTGGCCGTCATGTCTGAAATATCGTATAGGAAAACAGTTATGAATCCAATGTATATAATACTCAATTTGTGTGTGTGTTTTGTTTTTTTAAAAAAATATATCTTTATTGATTTCAGAGAGAGGAAGGGAGAAGGGAAGAGAGAGATAGAAACATCAACGATGAGAGAGTCATCGTTGATCAGCTGCCTCCGACTGGGGATCGAGGCCGCAACCCGGGCATGTGCCCTGACCAGGAATTGAACTCGATCTCCTGGATCCTAGGTCGATGTTCAGCCGCTGAGCCATGCCTGGCCGGGCTGTAATACTCAATTTGGATAGCAGCAGCCATCTAGGTACTTCTATAATAATTATTTTCCATTTCTAGAGAAAAGGAGATGGAGTGATTTTTCCAAGGAGGAAGGCTACTGATTTTAAACTCTCGCTCCCTCATAACAACAGCTAACATTCACGGAGCTAAATTATTATGTACCATTATGGATTATCTCACTTAGTCTTCACTTAAGCAATGTTGAAATTCAATGACTAAGCAGGTTTTGGTGCCATAGAGAAGGTAAAAAACAACACTTTTCTTCTACCTAGTGAAGTTCAGTAACTGAGGCCCTGTGAATTAAACTGACAGAATACACATTAACAGAAGAAAAGGTTTATTTTATAAGCATGTGGACGAAAGGGGCCACATGCTAACCCGACTAGCTCAGGGAAGGCCTTGCAAACTCAGAGACCTAAAGTAACCACAAAGGATGGTCTGAAGTTAAAACATTTTTTAACTAAAAGTTTATGGTAGGTAGTGATGTCCTAGGCCGATATCTCCCCTGACAAAGGTCAATCTTAACCTTAATTAAGCCATCTATTGTCTTTTGCATCTACTGTAACATTCCTTTGGAATGTAAGCGTAAAATCCCCTTTTTCCAGACCTCTCAGGGCCCAACCGTTGCACTAGAGAGGGGACCATAAATCTTCTCACTGTTGTGTTAATTGTGACTGTTTACTGTACCCACCTACGTAAAATCTTTGTACTTCTTATTCAATGTCCCTGGTTTCCCTGATTTACCTGGTGCAAAATTGCCATTCTCCGGAGCATTATCTCAATCCCTAGAGAATCTGCTTCCCAGCATTTGTCCACCGTTTGGCTCAAGTAAAGTCATTAAAAATTCTTCACAGGTCTGAATGTTTCTTACGTTAACATGCACATGGGGGCTTCCCAAAAAAGTGAAAACCCAAAGAAACTATTCTGCATGAGGGCCTATATACCATTTTAACAAAGGGTGATAAGTTGTGGAGGAGTAATTAGACAAAGGAAAAGGGGTTTTGGCTTCTAGAAGAAAGTATATATGAGAGAAACTAATGAAAGTGTTATTTTATTTTTAAATCCTCACCCAAGGATATTTTTTCCATTGCTTTTCAGAGAGAATGGAAGGGAGAGAGAGAGAGAACCATTGATGCAAGAGAGACACATCAGTTGGTTGAGTGTCCTACTGTGCACCAAAAGGTCACCAGTTCAAATCTGAATCAGGGCACATACCCAGGTTGTGGGCCTGATCCCCGGTCAGGGTGCGTGCGTGTGGGAGGCAACCGATGTATGTTTCTCACATTGACTTTTCTTTCTCCCTTTTCCTTTCTCTCTGAGATCAATTAAAAAAATATATATATTTTTAACAAGATGTGTACATGNCGATGTATGTTTCTCACATCGACTTTTCTTTCTCCCTTTTCCTTTCTCTCTGAGATCAATTAAAAATATATATATATTTTTAACAAGATATGTACATATAAGTGCACATGTTGGAAAGAAAAATATATTTCTTATTGTGAGTCATTGTAAGTGTTTGTTTGTTTGTTTTTAAATCACAGCCCTAAAACATTGGGTGATAAATTTTAAAATAAGTAGCAGCAATGGGTCTAATTCATTTGAAGTATTTCCTTCATGCCTGCCCTCTAGGCATCTGGTCATGTATCGACCTCTGCAGAAAAAGAGGGTGCTCTGTCAGCCTCACCTCCATATCCTGCTGGCTTTAACTTGGGTATAGAATATAGGTAACAGTGTGTCAGCATTTGGATGAGATACAGCCAAGAAGTGAGATTGTGGCTGTCACACGGTACCGGCAGGGTCCAGTGTGATGAATGTCTCCCATCACAATGATAACTTTAGGGGTGGAAGTTACAGGAAAGCAACATAAAGAATTTTTAAATTATTGATGTTGCCCAGAACAGAATGGGTTGCCTTAGGATAATTTCCCAAAGATCTGGAGGATCTTTGATAGGAGAGATTTAAACATCTAATGAGATTAAAGTAGATTACCTTAAATTGAAGGTATTTGGCAACCCCTGAGATTTTATGATTTGAATAAAATATAGTGGGAAACATTTGAAGTGATAGACATCTCTTACATTCTGAACAGTGTTTCAACATTTCTCTGAGAATTCTTTTTGAAAACTACCATTTTTGGTCGGATACCCTTGTAAGACCACAAAACATTACTCCCCAAGTTCTAAAATACAAGTTATACTTTATTTGCTCTCTTTAGAACGCAAAGATTCATGTCTGAATTTTTGTCTCTGATTAGGAAAACCTCTGGTCGTGGTTGGATTTAACGTCTTCTCCATCATCCTGATCCCCATGCACTTACTGTATTTCCGACTCGGCGTCCTTTACTACCTCCAGGGGGAACTGGGATGAGCAGGAGCGCGGACACCCCGTTTTCTGCCCCCCCACGTCGTCCCCCTGAGCATTCTTTCGCGCATCCTCAGGGCAGAGCGCCCCCTGCAGCCGGAGGCGGGGAGGAAACGGCATCCTCCAGCCCTAGCAACGGTTTCTATGTACAGCGCGGCCCGAGAGGGTGGAGGGAGCGGCGGCGATCCGCGAGCTCTCCCGCAACGGTCGGGGGGCCCTTTAGGACTCTATGAGATTGTCCCCCCCCTCCCTGGCTTTGGTCACCAGGAACCCCCGTGCTGCGACCCCGCCCCGACTTCCTCGGAAACAAAAGGCCCCCCGGGTTTGTTTCCCCCGACCGGGAAGGATGCTCCCCACTCTCGCTCGCCCCTCGAGCCGCACG